GAGAAGTGAGCCGGGGGGGGAGCTGCCTGTCCCTGGCTCTGCCATGAGTGTCCTGGGGTGTGGGATGGCGTCCTGAGCTGGGCTCAGGTCAGGAAGGGGGTGGTGGGGTCCCCCCGGGGGCCGATGTGTCTGAGGGCGCTGTCCATCCCCCAGGACGAGCCCACCACGGGGATGGACCCCAAGGCACGGCGCTTCCTCTGGAACCTCATCCTGGACGTCATCAAAACGGGTCGCTCCGTGGTGCTCACGTCTCACAGGTCTGGGGGGGCTTCTGGCTGCGCCCGTGATGCCTCCAGGCACCTGGGGTGCTGCGTGGGTGGGAGGGGGCTCTTCGGTCCTCAGGGGATGGCATTCAGCAGGGGCACGGGGAACAGAGGGAGCCCGGGACACCCTCTGTTGCCTTCTCCCGTCCCTGGTGGTGGGGCCATAGCACCCAGGTGATGGCCTGGGGAGCTCGGCTCCTCGCCTGCCCCAGCCGCGGCCCCTGGCACTGTCCCCCCCATGCCACCCTGCTGAAGCCTGCCCTGTCTCCCCAGCATGGAGGAGTGCGAGGCGCTCTGCACCCGCCTGGCCATCATGGTGAACGGGCGGCTCAAGTGTCTCGGCAGCATCCAGCATCTCAAGAACCGGTAAGAACCCAGTGGGGGTCCAGCACCCCATGTGCGCTGTGGGGCAGGAGGGGGCTGGGCCCCCACGGCAGGGTGACATCATGGCACCCACGGCGAGATGTCAGCCCTTCGTGTGGGTGCTGCTTTGGAGGGTGGGCAGGGGACTGGCTCACTCGACTGTCCTGGCACTGTCCTGGTGGGTGCAGTGGCTGCTGGAGAGCATCGTCCCCTTCCGTGGGGTCAGTCCTTCCCTGCAGATGTGCAGGGGGCGGGGCAGGTCCTCATGGGGTCCCTTGTCCTCGCGCAGGTTTGGAGATGGCTACATGATCACGGTGCGCACCAAGTCCAGCCTCAATGTCAAGGAGGTGGTGAGGTTCTTCAACCGCAACTTCCCCGAAGCTGTCCTCAAGGTGAGCTCCCTGCGGTGGCAGTGCCAGCCCCTGCCAGCCCCTGCCTCGGGATGCAAGCAGCCTTCATCCGCCAAGGGACACCTCTGTGGGACCCCCCGCAGGCTGACAGGAGGGGGTCTGGGAGTGAGGGCTTGGGTGTCATCTCTGTGTCCCCTGCAGGAGCGGCACCACACCAAGGCCCAGTACCAGCTGAAGTCAGACCAGATCTCGCTGGCGCAGGTCTTCAGCAAGATGGAGCAGGTGGTGGACGTGCTGGGCATCGAAGACTACTCCGTCAGCCAGACCACACTGGACAACGTGAGACCGGGGACGGCACAGGCAGCTGGATGCTTGTCCCCAGGGAGGGTGGCCATGGCCGGGGGGGGTTGGCCATGCCAAAGTGCCTGGCAGAAACCACTTTTGGGACGGGAGGTGGAGCTAGGTGGGGGCACAGCAGTGGCCACAGCCCAGTGGGATGCGCTGGGGCCCATCTTCAGTGGCACGGATG